AACGTGTGTTGCGGGAGGAGCAATTCTTGTTAATGGGATCTGGCATTAACATTTATCATATTTATATATCATCTATTCCAATATCTACATCAATAAGCTCTCGTAATTATATCTATGAGTGTACAAAAAGTTCGCTTTTCATTTCTCTCACACGAATGCCAATCTGCAACAGCTCCATTCGGCATATATAAAATAAAAGAAGAAGAAGAGAGAGAGAAAGAGAGCGAGAGAGAGAGAGAGAGAGAATATGCAAGCTGCTGGAGCAGTCATCAGTTGCCAGTTACGAGTCGCGCAGTCGCGCTGCCATTGGAATCATTACTCACGCGCACTAATCCCAGCGACTCCATTTGCCAGCTGGAAGCTGTGCGTCTTCGTTCAGCCGGCGAGGCTAAGAAAAATCACATGCGCAGCATTTAAAGATTTGCGGCGAGCGAGCGAGCGAGCGACCGAGTGAACGAGCGAGGAAATGCAACAGCGCGCGAACCACGACAGAGTCGACGATAAGCAGCTCGGAAAAACTTGCGAAGGCACCAAGCAACAGGCAACAGGCAACAAGCAGCAGTAAGCCAGGCCAATTGAGTTGTTCCCCTGGCCAACTGGTTGCTCCTGCTGCTGCTGCAGCAGCTGCTGTAGATGCTGCTGTTGCTGCTCTTCCTCTAAGCATGTGCTGCACGTAATGGTGTTGCATTTATTAAAGGCTTTTGTGCGTGCGGGCCCAGGCTCCGGCTTCAGTTCCAGCTCCAGCCTGAGCTCCACACTCTCTAGCTCTCTCTCTCTCTTTCTCACATGCTTAATCCATAAATGGAAATTAATGGTTTAAATACGAATGTATTTGGCGGCCATGTGTGTTCGTTCGACTGCTGCTCCAGCCAGGCGACCAGCCAGGCAGGCAGGCGGCCAGGCTAATGGCTCTGGCCTCGTAACGGTACAGCTTGAGTGCCACCGCATTTGCGGCATGGAAAATATTAAGACATAAATGTCGTCAACAATGATACGGACTATGGACAACGTTGGCTCTGTGGCGTAGGCGGCTGGGATATTGGATGCACAGTGCACAGTGGTGCAATTTGCATGTGGTTGGCGTTCAAGAAAATGGTTTTTCAATTAAGGGTACGCGCATTATCCATATATCATCTGATTGGCTGGCTTAATGAGCATAACAATGCAACGCCCTATCGCTCGCTCTCTCACACCCTCTCTCTCTCTCTCTCCCTTAGTCTATTCCATAATCAGAGAGAGATTAGCGCCCACCAGGCAAAAAAAAAATAATACAAAAAAATCTATGCCACATATGTGGCCCGGCCCCGGCCATTGTTGTCTGCCCCCATTTGGGGATACGGGGGCCCTTTTTCTACTTGGGTCATTCTGGCTTCAGGGTAGACTCTGGTCAGCGCATAAGTGCATATAAAAAATGATACCACAATTTATGGGCGACATCTAATGGCTGCAACAGTGTTGGCGGATTTGCAGAAGCAGCCGTCGCGGCTTGCAGCTTGCTTGCTGCACATGCAGCTTGCCGCAGCTTGCTGCACATCACATAAAACATAATCAAGTTCACATTCACCCAGTCATCCGGGGCGACAATGGCAGCTCGCATCCTGCTTGGCTAGAGTCAACTACGGCAATCGTCGTCGCCTCCCGCTCCGACTATGCGAGATTAATTCTCGCGCATATTGTCATATTTTCTTGTCGCATGCGTCACTTTAGTCGTTGCTTCGTTGGTTCTTTTTGTTAACGTTTTGATTCCATTAACTCATACAGTTGCAAATATTGAGCCGCTCAGCCAGTCGGCTCGTAATTTCCCTAGCTTTTTCTGCTCCAAATTATATGCCATTTGGCGTGTTTGCATCCAATGCATTTATCATGTGGCAACACACGTAACTCTCGCGCGTTCTGTATTAATTGTTGACCATTTGGCATTTGGCAATCGCATTCATTGCCGCCACAGCGCGCGTAGGCGGGTGTGTGTGTGTGTGTGTGTATGTGGGCGAGCTGCATCTGCCATAAGCACTAGCTGGCATTAATAATACCAATTGGAATGCATTTAATGCATTCTCACAGCTCACATGATAGCTGCCATACGCTGAAGAGGAAACAATTTCGATTATCATTTCAATCACAATTGATAACTTGACCAGAGATGCTAAGAATTCAATAAAGTAAATTACTTGGGGAAGGTAGTTGAAATATTTACAATAGAATTATTTTCTTTCATATGTATAGAAAATTTGAAAATATTTATAAAGAATATTTCTTAGATAATTTTTCATTAAGTATTTGTAATTTTCAGAAAAATATTTTCATAGAATATTTAAAAATATACATATGCATATATATATTTATTTATTTAATTTATATTTATATTTTAGATATTTTTGTTTTATTTATTTTCTAAATATAACTATTCTCTTATCTAAAAGAAATTTTTATGTTTCTTCTGCATTTAATTAAGTTTCTGCCCGTTGCTTAAATTTCTCTGGGGTCTGTTTGAGCATAACATTAGCTTATTTCAATATTTCCTTCAATTCATATTGAAAATAAATAATATTGAAATGATGTAAATAATTAATTATTAATTTAATTTAAAAAATATAATGAATATTTAAAAATTATAATTATTGATATTTCATATTATATTTATTCATTTATTTCATCTATCCTTCAACTCATATTGCATATATACAATATTTAAATGCTGTAAATAATAAATATATTCATTTCATATATAATAAATATAATAAATATTTACTTTCAAATAAACCCCAAAATAATAATACAATTAAATTATCCAACTGCTCTTGCTAATTATTTCATTCACAGCCTTCAACTTTTGCTGGGCTGCACACTTCTCAAACAATTTGTTTAACCTTTAAAAGTAGTCTTATTTACCTTGTCTGCCTCTTCTTCAAGCACTTTATAAATCTTGCACATTGATTCCCATTTACTTTTTTTTCACGTTTATGCAAATTAGCTGGCAAGTAGATTATCATGAGTATTTCATTTGTTTGCTCGTTGCCAACAATAGTCAACAAATTTTATTGTTATTATTATGTTTTATGTTTATTGTTGTTGTTGTTGCTGTTGCTGTTGCTGTTCATCTGCTTTTGACGCGAGTTCGTTGCCTAAGTCTTTTGTTTGCAGACCACACGCACTGAGAGGCTGCTCATATAATTTTACGTTGCAGCGCTCGGCATTGATTTCACTTATTTGAGCAAAACGAAACAAGCCCGTTAACAATTTGTGCAAAACATTTGCCCAGCCCCCCTAAAAAAAAGAAGGAAAGAAAAAGAGCTGAAATAAAAGCCAAGGTCCAGGTTCTTTCCACTCAGCCAGCCTGGGATTAGGGCTGCAGCGGAGGCGGAGACGGTCGCATCGACAACGCACGCCTGTTCGCATTCAATAAATAAAATGTCAAAACAATAATGAAATGAATTATGAGCGCGCATCAGCAGCGACGGCAACAGTTGGGCCAGCAGCCGTTGAGGCTGGGCGGCGTGGGCTACCATCGCTTGGCTGGCTGGCATTGCCTGCTAAATTTCTTGTTGCTTTTATTTATTGATTTCGTGCGTATGCACAATCAGCGCACAGCACTGATGCCGATGCTGCTGCTGCTCCACACACACACACACACACACACACACACACGGACAGAGAGAGCATCATCCTGGTCTGCAATGTGGTTACAATTGTCAGAACGCTCGTTTGGCCAGCGATTGGCTGTAAGCCTCGGGCGGACGCGTAATGAAATGCTGTGTGTTTGTGTGTATTTGGTGGATTATAGCCGATGTATGTACATATATGTCGCTCTTTACATACACGCTTGCAATTCAGCCATACGTCGGCGGAGGCTAACGCCATGCGAAACGCAATCAAAACTTTCGCTGCCAAACGAAAAAAAAGCAATTATTTCGATAAAAATGACCGTTTACTGTCGTTTTGTGGATATTGAGGTTCAATTTATGTATGTTACAGCCACAACAACAACAACGGGGGAGTCGACTGCGCTTATAGCCAACAATGTTACCGCTGCGGCTCGTTGGCGACTCGCCTTTATAACTGGGTCAAGGGAACGTACACAGAAAGTAAATAAATAAAATCCAAATTTACATTCCGCTTTTTGCCACTACAAACATCATCAGCATCGCCATCATCAGCATCTCACATTCAAATTATGAGCCGCAGTTGAACGCAATTGAATTTGCTTTTTGATTTGTGTTTTCATTAATTACAAACGCAATTTGAGCATTGGCTTTGTGGGAATTATCGTGAATATTTTGTGCTGCCAACTCCTGGAATTTAACATTTATCTGCTAGAGCTTTTAGTTAAATGATATAATGAATGTGCAAGGTGAACAAAATATTTATGAATACCTTGTAAATAGTTTTTCATTTTGTCTTCTATATATATACCATTTCTATATGGTTCTCTCACAAAATTTCAGCTCGCTCGCTAACAGTAAAAGTCCTAAATCAAACTCTAGTTAAGCTCTCCATATACATACATATATCATCAAGTTTCCGTTAGCAAATCTAACCGGGTCGAGCCAGCTACAGCTACAGATTCCATTCAATCATTGGTAAAGCTCTCCTTATATGGTGTGGTCTTTCATAAATAATGAAACTAATATACTAATAATAGGCCAGATTCCATTACGTTTTATAGTTTCTCACCCATTCGCTATAAATATATGAATTAAATATTCATAATATTAGCAATATAACTGCACCTACTCATAATAAAAACGCTCTGCGATCTGTGTGTAAATATAATTTTTATATGATTTATGTGTGCAACATTTTTTATGGAGCACTTAAGACTTGGCCACTTAGCCATTTGGGGTTTCTTATTATCCATTCTGCCAATGATTGGCCACA